TAGGTCTAACATGGAAATCAAATTGCCAAAGCGTGCATTAATAACATGCTTTCGCAAAAAACGGTCAGAGGAGTCACTGAGAATGGAGGCGGAGGATGAGGAAGTGTCGAGAAAAGGCTGTTTCATTTAGCAAGCAGAAGATGCTTCCTCTCTCTCTCTCTCTCTCTGCGCTCTGCACTGGCCCTTCAGTGGACACAGCCAGGCTACGATCAGCATATCAATGCCCAGCTTTCTACAGAACAGCCGATTGGGGCTTGCCAGGCCCAACTTAACATGCTTTCAACACTGTATCAATAACACTTTGTTTGAAAGCAAAGCTGTAGGGGAAAAAAAAGATGTTTCTTTAGATAACAAGATGCAAAAAGGAGTTTTGTATTCAGCAGGGATGTAATTGATTGAATTCTCATTATGATGGCTGGGTATAGTGTTTAAAATGAGTTAAGGGTGAAAGGAAAGCATGAGGGAGAAAGCGCAGACGATGGGAGTTGAGGTTAGCCCCCTGTGGACACGGTGACGTATGTTTCTGTCCACATTATGAAATCTAAGGAGGAGTCCCTCTGGTCTTATTTTTTCTCTTTATCCTTATAATCACTCACTTCTTACCTCTGATTTAATTTCTCATGGTTTCACTTTGTCAGCTGGTGTGCGTGGCCACACCACGAGGAGCTAACAGGCCATTGATGTATTGATGCCAGCAAGCCGCCTCAAGCCATTGCCAGGAGTCCTAGGCAGCTGGCATTCTCATTCAACCCAAACACAAAGTACAAAGTCTCACTGTGGGCTAATTGGGTCATCCTCATGTGGGAACCGGTTGCACTGGGACTTTCTCAATCATCCCTTCATTTTTGTGAGTGACAGAGAGAAAAAGGGGAGGTAAAATGATTCCGCACAACCCTGAAAAACTCAAAGTGAGGAAATTGATCTTCATGCGCTCTAGATGAGATATTAACGTCTTACACCAACCTATCAGTTTAAGGCTAGTTGTTGTTTTTTTAAACTCCAGTGACCTTTGTACTGATGACAACATAAGACAGTGTCATCATTTGTGGTTTTGGCAAATTAACAACTAGGGCTGTGACAGGAAATGACACAAAAGTCACTTCCCTCTTTGCTAATGCAACACAGATGTGGCCAGAGTGTAAACAAAATGTTTACTGAATTTGGTTTGGGAACACAACCGTTCTGATAAACTCTCAGTGCTCGGGGGACAAGTATTTATTTAGTTAAAAAGCACATCCCTTGTACTGACTAGCTTTACATGCTAGAAGTGGAAATTGAACTCGTATGTTGCATAGATTGCATTCACACACACATTTTGAGCACTGCATTTAGACTCATGATATGAATGGTTGATTTTGAGAGGTGTGAACAAAGCCAATTAAATGTAAATAAGTGCATCATGCTAAATGTAGTCATCTACACCATCACATTGTAGAGCAGTCCATTCTCAAATGTGCATCTTTAGTTTTTCATTCTGGGAATGCTTGACATAGCCAAATAAACCAAGATCAAAACACTGTTAAATTTTGACTACTGCACTGGTATAACAAAATAACTCTAACTCAAGTTCTGCTTTCTGACTTTTTTCTGAGCTTTTTAACCACATCTCGGAGACCTTGAGTTAAGCCATAAATTCAGTTAAGTTTAATTCAAAATATTTCATTTTTCATTCAAGGCTGCGGTTTGAGCAAACAAAAGCAGTCCATTCATACTGATAATCACGATCTAAAAACACAAAATATGACACGAAGAAGAAGGTTGAAATACACGCGGGTTAATGACAGTGTCCAACGCCTTGAAGGTGCATTATGTAAAACAAATGCAAATGCATTTATCAATCAATACACAAAGCAAAGTGGCCATCTCTTTTACCACAGCTGTTCACCAGTCATCTGGAATAAAGTGAAATGAACTTCTGTTTATTGTACATACAGGCAATCAGGAATACAATCCTGACAGCATTAGCTTATTGATGATATTGATTTGTCCACTATTAAGCTATGTAAGTGAACTGTGTTTTGCCAATCAATTCAAAACTGAGGCCCAACAGGAATTTTGCTCCTGTATTGTTGACATTTTATCAGAACTGTGCCAATAAACAATCCACTTGTTTGTGATTTCTATTGACAAGCCCGAGCCAAGTTTATTTGTAAACAGGAAGTGTAACCTCTTACAAAGCAGCTGCTCAAATTTAACCCTGTGACCTTTCCATTGTGGTCTCGATCAGAGAGTGTAGGTTTGACTTATTTCAGTTCTCCTCTGCAGAGCCTGGACTGGACAGTGTAAGCCCCGCTGTGTGTTGACCTTTACAGTACTAACACACACACACACACACACACATACACACACACACACACAGCCAGAGTCTTGGCTCAGGTTGTGCTGCTGATGCAACAGGACAGGTGTTTGTACTTGTAGCTCCGGTGCTCATGTTTAGTCAACCTCGTGCATGTTTAATGACAGGCGTGGAGGCACTGTCAGCCATCGTCATTACAACACGCTGTGGTACCTCCTCATCACTGGCAGGATTACATATTTGAACACAGATGGGTGGACGATGTGGAATTTAGACTCGGGGATGTTGAAACAGCAGCCAGCGCTGCATTCCTCCTGCACTTCCTTCTCCTGTCCTCACACTGCCTGAACTTTAGTGAATTGCTCTTGTGACTTAATCTGAATTTCACCCCTAAATTAGATTTTTGTAAAGACAAAACTCGTGTCTGATGACTTGCTCGAACTGGTGAGGAAATGTCACGCAGATCGCACAGTGCTGGTGTGTGGAGGATGCAGTCTGTTGTCTAGTGTTGTTTAGAGAAGACATGATCTGAATTTTGAACCAGATTGTTTTTCTCTTATCCCACCTTTGTTTTGAGCTGTCTGTTTGAAGGGATTATAGTTATTCATAAGATATTCTACAGACATTGTAGATTCAAAACAGTCTGTGGCACTTGGTAGCATATTTGTTTTATTTGCTGTAAAGATACAGAAGGCTGCAGATGTTGTTTTTACTAATCATTTTAGGAGACTGCATTGGTTTTGTCTCGTCCTAGTGACACTGATATCGACAAGTGCTCCCAAACTGTTCCTCCTCGCTTCTCTCCTTCTATCCTGCCTACTTCCTTCTCCAGCCCTCCTCCTCGTGGCCCACTCCTCCTCCTCCTCCAATGATTCCTCATGGTGAACTTCCAGTCCTGACAGCTCACATACTGGAAGAGGAGGAGCAGACTCAGGACATCTGTGGGAAGTGAGATTATGAAACAGGCCTCCCGTCCTCGTCTGACCCCGGCCACCGTAGTCACAGTTCATGACACCATGCAAACGACAGTGACAAAATGCATGTTTTGACTTTAGCTTTGCTTTTTTTTTTTTTTTTTTTTTTTTTTTTTTTTCAACCTTGGCTTTTCAGGCCCGGGTTCAGAGTTGATGGGTTGAGAAGAATGATAATCTTGTTCTGATTTTCCTCTCGTGTGATGTGATACGTCAGCCAGATGCTGCTCCAGAACACCTTGTTTTGAAAACCATCTGAAACGGCTTAAACTCTCAAACAATGCAGGCTTGGAACTTATAGCAGGAACATATTTCGGGCTCCTTTTCATATTTTTTTCATCCTAGCACTTTCCTGTTTGGCTGCATAACCTTGATGGGAATTAAAGAAAAAGCATCACAGCAGGAACAAGTACAAGGTCTTCACTGATTTTACACGTTAAAGTCTGTTCACAGGTCTGGAGAAGTAGGCTAATGAATATGTGAGAAAAGAAAATGTAACGTCTGTCGTGGCTCTAGAAGGGGCTGCGTTTGGTTTGATAAATTTGCCTCAAGCGATGTTGCTTGAGTCAGCATCGGTTGGGCCCATCGGCGACCTCAGAGTCTGAAAAATGAAGCCAACACGGAAGTACCAAAAAAACTGCGCTTCTTCGACTGGCCGCTGGAGGCTGGCTCCAAAAGCGAGTCAATCCCCATAGACTCCCATCCCACGATATACCAAACCGTTCTCCTTGAGATAGCATTTTCTCTCTGTGTAATGAACTTCACCAAAAAAAAAAAAAAAAAAAAAGATAAGACTGGGTTGTACAACAACTGTCAGCATTGCTTACTGAAAGCTTACTGAAGTCGCTGCCGATGCTGCCAACTCTAGCAGCTAATATTTCCATACTTCCATTAAAACTACCGGTGGTTACATTTCAGCCTGTTAATGTCGAACACTACCACCACAACAGCTCCCTGACTGTCACGTTAGCTGTCAGCTGTGTGTAATCAAAAAGCCATGACAGCTCTGTAGTGTCTCTGTAATATGCGTTCGATGATATACTTCATACTTGATATTTGAGTTGAAGTCGGAGGCGGTTTGTTTTTAGCCTGGCTAAAATTCCTCAGTAGTTTTCACAGCACAGACAGATACTCCACTGGTAATCCACACGCGAGCAAGTGCCCTCGTTCTGTATACTACCGTACATTTTGCAATTACAGTTCCTATGATTCAGCCGGGAAATAAGCTGTTTTCTCCACGTGAGCGTTAGAGGAGAGAGAGCACATGCTCTATACCTTGATACCTTGCCCACTAACACGAACGTTACATGTCTTTTCCTCCCCTGCCTCCGTCTCATTTGAAGTGATGAGTTAATTGTGCAGGTGAGACATGTCCATGTGATAGCATGTGTCGTTTGCTGAGACAGCTGTTTGCCTCTGAGGATGCCGAGCTCCTAAAAAGCAGAGAGGAGCTCGGGCCTCTCAGCTGCTGCCTTGAATACCAACTCTGAAGAAAATGGGTCAGTCACCCTTTATTAGAAAACTTTGCTGCTTCCTGTTCCCCAGGTGGTTATAAAAGGAGAAAGCAACTTTCTGAAAAGGTGGGAGGGTGTCAGGTTTTAAATGGAACACTTGACACTTGAAGGTTTTTTTTTTTTAATGTTTTTTTTCTGTAAGCAGTGAGAAAAAAAAGCTATGGGCTGATCTGTGTTCTCTGTTTCTCTCCTCTGCCCTTCCTTTCCTGCTCTTCACAGGCTGTCAGCATCAATAAGGCCATCAACACACAGGAGGTCGCTGTCAAAGAGAAGCATGCCAGGAATATCCTCATATTGTCTGTGTGTGTGTGTCTGTGTGTAGAAGCTCTCCTCTGTGGCTGGAGGGTTATGTTCGTGCAAGATCAAAACAACAAACCGAGTGTAACCCCATCATCTACACGTGGCCCTGCCGCAGAGCTAATTTAGTCATGTGTGGAACAGACAGAGAAGAGCGCTGTTTGGAGGCTGCAGAGTTTTCTCCCATTTGTGTTTCATCAAACACTCTCAAAAGCACAGAGCAGTAGTCTCAAATCCCAAGGAGAGGGAAACGTTAATCCACTATATACTGGCTTCACTATTTTAGTTTTTTAACAAAAAAGAGGTCTGTGGAATTATTTATGTATTTATCTTTTGCTTATTAAAAAACATGAAATTTAAAATTAACATCTGCACTACAAACAAGCTGTAGTTTAACCATATTTTTGGTGTACCTTTTTTTTTTTTTTTTTACTTACTTAGACTCCTGCACATAATCAGCTGCTTATTTGTGTTTTTGTCTTTACTTTGAATAACCAAAAACATTTTATGAGCAGTCAACGTTTCATGAAGAGCGGCATAAGAATAGACGTCCAGACATGCACGTTAACCCTGTGATCCTTGACTGCCCTTGTCACCCTGCATCTTGGGGACCCATCATGAGAAAGGCGCCCACACTTTCTGGGCAGCGGTCAACCGGCTCCCTCTCTCCAGCAATGCGGTGCTCTGCTGGAAGTTCTGCCACGTCTTCCACAAGCTGCTGCGAGACGGACATCCGAACGTAAGTAATGACGGCATAACCGTTTCCACTCGCGCGTCACAAAACAGACCCTGGCTTCTTATCTGTTTCGACTGTAGCTTGTCTCTGTTTAGTACGATGCGTCTGCACAGTCATCCACGCAACTCTGCCACACTTCTAGTTAATTATACTTAATCAGATCTTTGTGTTGTACTGATTTCTTTTCCCCTGCTTGGTCTCCTTTCTCTTCCCTCTGTTTCTGCTGTCGTCCCTCCAGGTGATAAAGGACTCCATGAGGAACAAGGCTGATTTAACTGATATGAGCAGGATGTGGGTAAGGACACAGAGATTATTATATGAATATAGTCACATCACAGCGTGCGGTGATATGAGAATGAGGAATATGACCTTGTGCCATCTCTACTGGTGACTCTATATCTTGATTTAAAAAAACAAAAAACAAAAAGCAGTTGAATAACAGACTGAAACATGAAACATTTAATCAAGTGGGGTGATTCTAATATTACCTGTACTGGTGAGTGATTTCAAGTTAAACTGATTTATAGTAAGCCACGTGTATTTTTATTTTTATTTTTTTTATTATAAGCTGAATCAACATTCAGAAAGAGATATTAAAGTAGTTTGAAACTGGGTTAATAATTAAATTAGAGCTACATAGAAGCAGCTCCTGTAATTTGCCATCAGGAACCACAACTCATATTACGAAAGAGGAGGGGGACTATTTTGTTAACCTCTTCTCCCTAGGCCTGTCTGAGTGGGCTTTTCTGACGTCAGGATTGGAGTGCGGCCAGAAGTGCATTTGTTCATTTGCCATTTAAAAAAAAAAAAAAAAAAAAAAAAAAAAATCTGTAGACTTTTGCATTAAAGAAGCTTGTATTTTGTTGAGAAGCATTAGAGTGCAGCCTCCAACTGTCCTCTATGTCATGGCCATCACAACATGATAGCCTGCTGCTGTCAGAGTGGAGTGACAGACATAATGGCCAGTGACAGACAACGAGGTGAACTCTCTGCTCTCACCTATTTAGCTTTTTCAAGGTGCCAGAAGAGAAAAACATTATTGCAGAAATGCATTGTGTAAAGATGAAAAGTCTTATTGGTGACAACGTTCGCCATGATCTAAGTGAGAACAAGTCTCGTCGCAGTATTGATTCACAGGTTTGCTGTGTAAACTTGTATGGACTGCACTCCAGCAAGTCGCGAAATCTGAACAGTCACCCCTTAGTTATGTCTTTAGTAACACTGACTTGGGTGGAGGCCTAGATTTTCTTTGTTGTAGTCCCTTTAAGTCATCAGCTTTTGCTGATGTCACAGGAAGATACAGGAAGTTTGGTCCCTGTGACGGAGGTTGTGGCCTCTCTTTCCTGTTGAGTCATCACCACCCCAGCACACCCAAGCTCGAGGAAAAAGGAAGTGAGAAGCAATTGGCCAAATAGTTGAGGCTGTTCAACTTTGCCCGTCCTCTCAGAACAGGGGCATGTTCACACGGACCGAGGTGGACTGTATCTGCTCCATACTCCACCAGTGTTTTTGCAGTAAAGTCTCTGTGGGCGGTGCAGTAAGAAGAGAGAGTATCTTGGCTGCTGTGGTGTAGTTTAGCCCCACAGTATGAAAATTTTTATTGTATGCTGTTTTCAGCCAAAGTGCCACAACGAATTTCCTCAAAATACCAAATGATTTGCTTCCCCTGTCGCTCTTTAACCAGCGAACCCTTCAAGTCTTCCAAGAAAAGGAGAGTGAATGTTCTACCTTTGATCATGTCTCTCCTCCTCTCTCTTAATGTCTCTTTGTTCCCCGTCTTCTCTCTTCCCCAGGGTCACCTGAGCGAAGGCTATGGGAAGCTGTGCAGCATCTACCTCAAACTGCTCATCACCAAAATGGAGTTTCACATCAAAGTGAGTTGGCCTGGCCTATAAAAACCCAGTGCCAGTCTCCCTCATCACTCATTATCTTAGTCTCAGACTCTCCTTTTAGTGCCAGCATGTCTCTGCGGGGGGGGGGCGACTTCATAGAAAATTCTGGCTTTTACACTAATGGCCTCTTAAGAATCTGTAATGTTGCCTTTTTATGAGACAGCTGAGCAGACTGGTGCAGGGACCAAAAGTCAGTGTTGATGCTATCACAGGCAGATGTGGTTAGTTGTTGCTCTGCGGAAGGGGGCGGGGGTGAGGGGGCAGTTTGGCAAGACTCAACTCGTGAATCAAAGGTGTAATATGACACTGGCTTATAAACCATCTGATGTAGTTTTATTTCACTTCTCTACTGGGCTACAGTTATTGTGATGTATACGTATGCATTGATCAGTAAGCTTCACGCATTATCTAAAATAACTCCAGAGCTCACATAATACAGATTCTCTCGTCACGCACTCGATAAAGGTCAATAAATCAACAATCAGCTCCTGTAAACAGTCTCATATTAACTTTTAACCTGCAAAGAGCTGGCAAACTACCAAGAATTACTTGAAAAATAATCTCCATCTGCATTATTTCCTAAACAAACTCAGTTTATGTGTAAAATATTCCACAGAGAAAACTGCATTGTCTATTTTTTTTTTTTTTTGTGTCTCTGGTGTCCTCATTCGAATAAATGGCATTCCTTCAAAAGTGTAATTGGCAAGTTAACCTTCAGTGCTCCAGCTTTATGTAAATCCAGCATAACTGGCAGCGAGTCAGAAGTCGGTTTGATGCAGAGCCAGGGTTTTGTTTTGATTGGATTTAACAAGTGAGAATGTACGGTAGTCAACAGGGAACAAAGTTTGAGAGCAGGCAAGGTCCAAACAATGCATTAACCTGAGGGATTCAAAATGTTTCATCTCAAAAACCAAACATCTGGTGGTGGAACAAACATTCAGATCCTTCACTTAAAGCTGCTCCAATCAGTGTTTTTGTATTAACATCAGATCACATCTCAGTCGAACACAGATGATCATCACCCAATTCCGTTTTGGTTTTTGGGGTTGCAGCGTTTCTGTTTCACTTCGCTCTCATCAATCTCATGGTTCAGTTTCGGCAAAAAGTGAAACTCTAAATGATGCACTGCCGTTTTAAACTGCTCAGCACCAAACGGCAGACAAAGTAAGCGACTAGCTGGACAGCTGAACTGTGTGTGATTTGAGTTTAAAGCTTCGTCCTGTTGTCGTCTCTTTCAGAACCCTCGTTTCCCCGGAAACCTGCAGATGTCAAACAGACAGCTTGACGAGGCGGGAGAGAACGACGTGAACAACTTGTGAGTGTGGCGTGCCGCAGCATCGGATGCTGTTATTGTCGTCGTTGTTGAGCTGGACCGCTGTCGGCCGGGGCCTGCAGGATCCCCCTGTTAATGAGTTTCAGTGTTAATTCTCAACTGTGGGGGCAAACGTGTGATATGAGCTTCTACTCATACATGAATAAACCAAATGAAGCTTAGAACAGCTTAAAGGTGTTGTAACAAACAACCAGCTCAGTTTAAATGTTTTAAATTATGGACACATTTTAGGGTTTTAATCATTCTAATAGACTAAGGGGTTGTTCTTCATACTTTCATGAAATCAAAAGGCAGAGACAAAACATCTAGTCGAATCTAATTCAGTTTATTACGATGATCAAATGAAAACACGAGACGTCAGTGGGTTTGACCTTTTCTTATCCGTCGTTTGTTCTTTTTTCGTACATATGCAGAACAAAGTACCTGCTTTAACACAACCGTGCCAACCATGATCTTTCATCAGAGGTTATGGCCTGGGTGTTTTAAGAGTTTCTTATTTTGAGGACACACACACAACCAGGCGTAGAAAAGTGCCAACTTCAAATCAAGTCTGTTAAAATTAAATCGCACAAAGGCTTTGCAGATCTTTGAGGATTCTTCAGCTTTTCAGATTTTCAGAGGATTGAAGAAGTAAAAGTATCTATACGTCACAAAAAGGCAAACAATTGAGAAAAGAGAGAATAAGATGATTGGTGTGCATTATTCTGGGTGTTTTCCCCTTGAACATGATTTGATCATTACTCAGCCAGTGAGAATATGAGAATGCAGGAAAGCAATTCTGTATGTCATAAAGCGCGTGCGTGTGTGCGTGCGCACGCGCTTATTAAAGGCATTCTAAAAAGCGTAATCTCTCTCTCTGTCCGCCCACCTCTAGCTTCCAGTTGACAGTAGAGATGTTTGACTACCTGGAGTGTGAGCTCAACCTCTTCCTGGGTGGTAAGTTACTCTGTGCTACCAGCTGTGCCTATCTGAGACAGACCATGATGTAAACACACACAGATGCACGCAAGTTCAAACAGTGACAGACAGAAATGATGCAGTCTGACAGAAATAGACACTTTCAGACAGATGTAGACTGATGATATCGACAGTATCTTCACAGCTCTGCCTCATCTGTCTGCTGCAAGTCTGTAAGTGGTTACGTACTTACTGTAGCCCTTGTTGTTGTCTGGGTGAGTCATCCTAGGTTAATATCCTTTAAAGTATGGACTGGGCTAAAAATAGACGACCAGGATGTGACCAGGAGCTCAGACGAAATGCTGGAAAAGCTGAACGCTCCCATTCATAAATGAACAGGGGGAAATTACATTCTGGTTTCTATTTATCATTGCCCTTCGTTCTGTGTCCTGATGATGATATCATCTCCTCCTCCTCCTTCTCCTCCTCCTCCTCTTTGTAGAGAAATGGATATATCTGCCAAAACTGTATCTCTGCATTAGTGTTCAAGACAAAACTTTTCCTCTTATGACTTGATATTTGAGTTTGGTGCTTTCTGTGATCAAATATTCCACTTTATGCCCAAAGAAAATCCACCACACATTAGAGTCTGTGTTAGATCACACCCAAGTCTCAAGGGTCTTGTCAGCTTCCTCCCCTGGTCTGGTGTATTTTAAAAGCATCACGTCATCTAAGGGTAAAGAGACCCAGCTTGAGGGTGTCTGTGTGTGTGTTGATGTGTCTGTGTTTGCTTATGTTTCTGTGTGTGTGTGTGTGTGTGTGTGTGTGTGTGTGTGTTTTCTAGCTGTGCAGGAAACCACGCCTCTGCAGTGCACAGAGGCTCTCAGGGTCTGGCTTTGGGGACGGTGTGAGCAGGGCAGTGGGGAAATGAAAGAGGGGTGTAATGATGGAGGCAGAGAGGGAGTGAGACAATCCTGTTAGTGTTTCAGGTTGCTGCTTCCTCTCTGCTCCATTTTGAACCACTTTTTTTTATTTTTTATTTAAGCAGTCGTGAGCTGTGTGTTGCTTTCAAATACTTGACTAGTTAATTTTAGTTGCCGACGCAGTGAAATGAGTAGAGAGCACAGCAGCGCAACTTGATTGATTCATGAAAGATTCATGATTGATGAGCTTGTGTCTCTGTGTTTGCATTAATAATCACTGATGTGTGTACGTGTGAATGTGTGGTGGCTCCTGCTGTGTGTGTGTGTGTATATATTGATCTTGTGAATACATCTATTGAGCTTGCGTGTGTGTGTGTGTCTCTCTCTCTCTCTCCCCATCCCCCTTCCCAGTATTCAGCTCTCTAGACATGTCTCGGTCAGTGTCTGTGACGGCAGCGGGTCAGTGTCGTCTGGCCCCCCTCATCCAAGTCATCCTGGACTGCAGCCACCTGTATGACTACACCGTTAAGCTGCTGTTTAAGCTGCACTCCTGTGAGTTTCACACACACACACACACACACACACACACACACACACACACACACACACACACACACACACACACACACACACACTCCTCTCTGTTGGTCAAACTGCTCAGAAACAGGCTCAGTAAAAATAGTACGTAGTAAAGGTTGCTCATTGTTTTTGGTCTGGACACAAGAATTCTGCACTTTTTGTAATATTTCTATTCTGACTGGAAAACCTTGTTAACTCCGGTCTTGGTGAGTTGCAGGAGTGACTCAAGGTTAAAGGGAAATGCCACCTATTTTAATCATTCAGTTAGTAAATGGGCTTCAAGCAAGGACCAGTCATACAAACAGATTTGTTCTTAAGTGGCACCTATGAGCAACTTCAGGGAATCTGTGGCAATCTCCACGTTTCTGTAGTTTCTCTGTAATTTTCTACACACAAACCAAATTATTATAGGTACAAACAAAATTCATTATTAATTAATTTAGGTTAAGAATACAGAAATGTTCTTGCATCAGGCCCAACTTTTTCTGCTCTCCAGTTTTTCATCAGTAAAGTTAACCTATCAACAGGTGTGATTAAGAGTTTAAACATTAGCTGGCAGCTAGAACTTCAACAAAAAGAAGCAAATCCTCATATTCAAGAAGCTGGAACCAGCAAAGATTTGGCCTTTCCTGCTTAAATTGTACTGCAATGTACTGTAGAAAATATTAGTACAGCTGTCAATGATATAAGTGTGAAGCCTTTAAGTTATGTATTAAGTGTTTTGCTCCTGTGGAAAAAGGCTTACTATCTTTACATGACTCATATGACAGGTCTGGGCCATTCATGAATTCCTTTAGTACCCGAGAAAAAATTCAAAGTACAAGAAAATCATGACACCTTTCAAAGAGCCACTGAATAAAGCAGATGTTTTGGAAATATAAAGTCTTTCATTGGCCAGCTTTGATATATTCATGCACAAATCCCATAATACATCTGAACATTTTGCATGTCCAAGCACTGACGTGTTTGTGTTTTGTGTGCACTTGCAGGCCTTCCAGCAGACACTCTCCAGGGCCACAGAGATCGCTTCCAGGAACAGTTTAAAAAGTATGAAGTTCACTCGCAGTCACAAACACACACACACACACACACACACACAGACACACACACACAGGCAGAAAACCAGTTGGTCACAGCTTCACTGTACTCTCTGACTGAATGTGACCCAGAGGACGGAGCTCTTAGTACTGTGTTGAATTCATTTAGCTCCGTCTGCCCTTCTCACTCTGATTCTCTCACTGTTTCTCTTTCTCTTCTGTCCATCTTCATCCATCTTTCTCTCTGTTTCAGGTTAAAGAGTCTGTTCTATCGCTCCAGTAACTTGCAGTATTTCAAGAGGCTGATTCAGATCCCACAGTTGCCTGAGGTGAGAACCGCCCTCACTGATTCTTAGAATTTTCCACATTTAACCACACCTAAGCACCGAGTTGACCCAGGATGGTTGTTTCAGGTTTCCGTTTAACAATCTAATTAATTTCCCAAACAAGACCTCTTTGCCCTTTGATAGTTTTACTTTGTATACTAGTTGTTTATACACTGTAAAACAATTCTTGATTGAAGCTCAGATGACCTTTAGTCTCTGTCACCATTCACATCTTATAATATCTTATTTTGTCTTTCTTTTCATACCAACCTCTCAGCTTATGTACTTTTGGCCTTCACAAAGCTGCAGGTGAATTGAGTATTGTAACCCATGTAGAACGAAGGCACCAGATATTCATGTAATATTCATTTAATTTATTAAGTAATTTTTAGAAGCTTTTTGTTGTTCAGACTGATCTTAAGACTTTTTAAAAAAAGAAATTTTAGCTGCAAAAATCTGCGAAAGCCTCAGACATGTGAACAGTAAAACATTTAAAGGCCAAAGCCAGTGTCAAACAACAAACACTAGACTTCAGAAAAAAATAAATTCATAGTAAATGATCTGGATCTGCTCCAACATTTAATGGGTTCTTCCCTGGGCCGTGCCCGATCCCTCCACCAAGTTCGGTGCAAATCGGTTCAATACTTTTTACGTAATTCCCATGACAGATAAACAGACATTGGTGAAAACATAACCTCCTTGGCAGAAGTAATAATACACTGCTTAAATGTGTGCTTTCTGATCCTTGCAGAACCCTCCTAACTTCCTACGTGCGTCAGCTCTGTCAGAGCACATCAGCCCCGTGGTCGTGATCCCCGCCGAGTCCTCGTCCCCAGAGTCGGAGCACATGGTGGAGACAGACGACCTGGTGGACACAGACGTCCCCTCGCTGCCGGTAACTACACAAGACAAGTAACCCTGAATGGTACCGTCTTAGATCCATCTGTTTTGTAGCTCTCTGGCTCCTTAGCTAATAATATGTGTTGATGTAATCAGCGATCAAAAATTTGAAAAGGATGTTTTGCTTGTGGGAGTTTCATCAGGGAATAGATGCAAAGAGGGAAAATGGAGGAGATAAAACTGGAAAGAACCTGCTTCATTAACAGACTCCCCCATGAAAGCACATATCTTTTAGATTCTTGGTAAAACAACTCTAAACATCTGGTTTATGTTTATGCTGACATGTCATGGTGTTAATTATATTTACTTTCAAATAGCTGGCTGTTGAGGTTAACTTGAAATACAAAACATAGTTGTCTTCTTGTTAAATGGGAGATAATGAGGTAATTAATCTCATTTTGGATCCATAATACAGCTGAAAAACACCTGGATCATAGACTTTATATGTCCAGTTGGGTTTGATAGGTAATGAATGTTGTTTTCAGATGTAAATCCAAACTAGCTCTGTTATATTCAGCTAATGACAACACTTCGAACTCAGAAGAACTATGGTGGATTGTATAAGGTGATCACTATGGGTGATTTTGGACCAAGCAGTTCTGGGGACTCCCTAAGAGGAACTGCCCTCTGGGAAGCTCCCCCGAGACGGGTAACTAACTATAACATTAGCTCATTGTAATGTTTTATTTCATGTGAACAAAATGTTTCAGTCTGGATCAATCATCATACAATTAGGTCACTCAAATTTCCTGTTGTGCTGGGAGAGTACCTACTCTCAAGTAGGGGCTGAAAAAATCCCTCAAAACGGGGTTCCAAAAACCTTGATCGTTCCCGGAGGGGGGGGGACTATAAAAAAGTTCTCTGGTCTGAAAACCCCTTATGTTTCCGAATAACTGCGTAATTACGCTTATTAGGAAAGTAACTCCAAATAATAACCCAGGCTAGTTAATGATTAAAGCTCAACCAACAATAAAATGTTACCAGTGTAAGTTTTATATCCATATTTCATTTGACTTGTTCACATTATTATTTTAAACTATAGGCTGCTCTGGAGACCAAGTTCGACGACCTGTTTGGCACCTCGGCTGCAATAGACCCGTTCAACTTCAACAGTCAGAACGGCATGCGCAAGGACGACAAGTAAGGCTCATCACAAGATCATAATAAGATTTGTCTTGTATATGAAGATTATAACTGTCACAATGATTTGAGATCACCAAGAAGCAAAATAATGCAAACAGATATTGTCACATTTGCATAAAAAAAAAAACACCCGAGTCGTCATCAGACGCTGGTCACTCGGTGCCTGCTTCCTCGCCATGCTAATCATTTCCAGCAAAAACTAACCGTATCAGATGTACCAATACTAAAATCTCCCTACGCTTGAACTCTGGACCCAAGTTATACCAAACTTCCCCTCAATAAACTCGTCACATTACTTCTGTGTGGCTGCAGATGCAGGACTTTAAAATGACTGGAGTTCTGCCAAAGCAGCTCGCTGAATACTACATATCAGGAGGATGTAATTATATGTGGGAATACATGATGTACATGCATGTACATACAACCATATGTCCGCCATATTTATTTCATGTATCTGCATGTTTTCCTTGTGAGATATGAACGTGCTCTGAAAACATATTTCCCTCCTGGGACAGTAACGATGATCTATCTAGAGAAAATTCACAGCACAAATACGGACTTTTGATTTGATTATATTTATGTTGTATATGTTAAAGACAGCAACACACAGCTGTAAAACCTGATGCAAAGTTAGTGAAGACCATGGGTGAAAATCAGGATAGGTGTGTATTTATTTATTTGATCAATGAGAGATATTTTGTCCTTGTCCGTCAGAGACCGTCTGATTGAACAGTTGACGAGGGAGATCCAGGCCCTCAAAGAAGAGCTTGAGTCTTTCAGACTGGAGGTAAAGAATCGAAAAACCCCTATTTCTTTTTAACTTGCCGTTGCATCTTTTAAACCTCACATAGCACATAAACAAATCATAACAAAAATAACAAAATCTTTTCTCACTCCACTCCTTCCTTTTTCCGTCCGTCACCAGAGCGGTCGGTTGTGTCAGGTGTTGAGGGGGCGTGTCAGTGAGCTGGAGGCGGAGCTCGCCGAGCAGAGCCACCTGAGGCTGCAGGCTGTGGGAGAGTGCGAGTTCCTAAAGGCCGAGCTGGACGACCTGAGGAGGGTCAGGGAGGACACGGAAAAGGAGCAGCGGAGCCTGACGGAGATAGAGAGTGAGCAGTTTGGAGTTGGTGAATCTGACAGAGGAGTGTGTTCCAACCATAGATGCTTTTACAGAACAGGGACATTATTTGAAAATCTTTGGACACAGCATCACTCTCAACATGCAGTGTTTTATGTTTTAGCCCCCTCATTTCTTTTGCTCCTCGTTGTATCCTGACTCAGCCGAGAAGTGTTGAAATACACCAGGAAAAACAGGAAGTTAGGGATTTAAAAACACAATCATTTCTCAAACAGTGAGTCGCAGCGAAAGGAAGGAGAAATGAATAGCTTAAGGGGCTTTGGGCTTTATTGTAGCAGTGGTCTACCTGCAGTTTCCTCAGATGCTGAAGTCATTTCATGTTCCGTTTCACTGATGTCGCTGCTTCCTCTGCTGATAATTGCATCTCTGTGCCCTCATGTGACTTACCAGGAAAAGCTCAGGCCAATGAACAACGCTACACCAAACTGAAGGAGAAATACACAGAGTTGGTCCAGAGTCACGCAGACCTGTTGAGGAAGGTGAGACAGACAGCTCCCACTTCTTCATGTTTAAAAAAACGTCTTTGTCCTTTTACCCGACTATAAAACCTGGAACCTCCAAGTTAAATTAAGTGCTGTCGTCTTAGTGTCCTTTTATATTTGCCCCGAGCTGAAGACCCAGTCTCTGTCCCAATTATTTTGTGGTGTGTTTCTTTCTGTGCATCTGTGTCCCATGACCTTTTGTGTGTGTGTTTGTGTGTGTCTCTGTGTGTGTCTCTGTGTGTGTGTCTCTGTGTGTGTCTCTGTCGTAGAACGCAGAGGTGACCCGGCAGATGACAGTGGCCAGGGCGGCACAGGATGAAGTGGAAGCAGTGAGGAGAGAGATGCAAGAGAAGGTGAAAGCAGCCCAGGAGGCTGCAGGCAGACAGGTGAGGACGAGACAAATGTTGTTTGCCCCGTGCTTTCCACTCCAGTGTTTTGCAGCCAAATGATTTGCTGTGGGTCCAACAGTGCTGTGGTGAAAGACTCAAAAGCTACTACTGTGGGATGCATGTGCACAGAGCTTTGATGGTGAGGAAAATACGAGGCCCACGGTGCAGTCATTTGGCTACAGGTCCAAAAATGTATCCACAATTTCTCAAATCAAGTGTGTGTTGTTTGAGATATAACAGCACACACTTGCTTTTGAGAAATTGTGGATACATTTTTGAACCTGTACAAAGCTGTAAACTTGAATTGAGTCAGCTGAAGTTTGTAGGACTTTCTCAGCCCTGATTCTAGACTGAAATTTCTCTTAATTTCTCAGAGCTGACATGAGTTGTCTAAAGTGAGATTTTGACTTGTCTTGCTCAGGAGCGGGAACAGCTGGAGCAGCTTCAGGAGCTGCAGAGGGAGCTGGTGTCCAGCCGGACAGAGCTGGACTCCCTGAAGACCACCATGACCACGTCGCAACAGGTCACTCTCCTCTCACTTTTAACTACATTTCTCACACAAGAGGAGCTTAAATCTGCTAACTAGACCCCAGAGGTGCTGCTGTAAAAAGTTACTGAAATAATTCATGACGTCCAAATTTTCTGTCCTACTAAAAAGAAAAGATTAATGATATGAAATGTTTCAACAGACCTGGGTAATCTTAATGGATTGAAGTCTGGATAAAACCTAATAATGGGCTGCTGGGACTCTGATTCCAGTCGTCAGTTATTTGATGATCTCACATACACCCCACCTTTGTAGTGTTAGTTACCACATGAATTGGCCTGTGCCAGGAATCTCTTTTCAGTTTTAGACACGGGTAACATGAGTCTGTATCCTGGATCAGACTTTTGAAGAACACATTTTGAAGACTAACACCTGACTTTATCTGGTAACAACTGGTCTTGGATCCTGACTGATGGGGGAAGTTGACCGCTCCTTAGCTTCTATCAATGAGTGCATGCTCCAAATTGAAATCTTCCACCATGGTCCATAGACCATAATAAAATTTTCCATTTTCTGTCACACTCATGCTGCTTAGGAACACACTCAAAACTGTTTTTGTGCTTCTTTTTGGCCCTGTCTGTCATCCGCACCGTCACTCCCTCCTTTTCAGTTTTTGTCTTCCCTCTTAGTCACTGACTGTTCCTCTGCAGGAAACATTTCAGAGGCTCAAACACATCAAGTTTCTGACAGAACTGATATGCTAATGCATTGATTTGACATTAGTCATTGAATGAATTGGTTTTCAGAGTGGGGAAATTGTTTCAACGGTAGCAAAACTACTTCTACCCCCTTCTTTTCTTCTTAATCCTCTCCCTGCCTGCATTTGTCATCTCTGCACAGCTGAGCCAAGTGGAACTTGCAGATGCCAAGATGATGTTTATAACAGGCGCCTGAAAGCATTTATTTAAAAGAAGAGACCAGAATGAAAACACAGAAGGAGTGAAATCTTGTCCAAACAGCTGCTTGTGTAAATGCAGATGATTGGTTCCTTGCTTTGTGCACATTAGTGCAGGAGGATTTTATTACAGTATGAGCTTTATTCTGTATGTCTGTGAGTAGCTAACAAAAAATATGCATAAATATTTATAAGAGGATAATTGATTGGCAGAAATTAAGCTTTGAAAGCCATTAATTTACATTATTCATCCTCACAATCCCTCCCGAACACACTGATTTATTGTGACTCCCTTTGCTCCGATTTAACGTGTTTTTCTCTCCATGCACCGCTCCCCGTACCTCTCATCTGTCTCTCAGCCTCCCACTCCTGTTGTCCTATTTTTGTAGCTACTACTTATCAACTCTGTCACTCTTTCTGTCCTCCTCCATCTCTCTAATCTCAATAGTTCTTTTCACATACATCAGCCCACAGTTTATCGCTCTCGTCTCATGCCTCCTGTGTCCAGCTCTCACAGGCTCCCGTCATAAAAATCATACTCTTAACCACTCTGTTTCTCATCCACCTCTCAACATTTCTCCTTCTCTGTCGGACCTGCTGGCAACCCAGGCTGTAAGTCTTTCGCCTGCTCTTCATGCATACACCTCATTATTTAACTCTGCTTGCAAAATTATGGTAGATAATAGTCAAAATATTTCATTTCACAAACCTCCAGTGCACAGGATTCGATATAACTTCACTCTGTTGCCATAATTCATGATCACTGCATTGCAGCCAAGTTGCGTGAGTTCCTTCGATTGCATGCATCACCTCAACCCGAATTTCTCTGGAGACTACACCTCTCCACAAACCTGAATGGGAGACAGTGTTGTTATAATCAGTGGCTGAAGATCAAAGTGTTTTTTATTGTGAGATCAGAGCACTCGCATCACACCGCATCCTGACAACCACGTATCATCGTAACCATGTCCTCCTGACTGTTCAATGTGCCTCAAAGTCATTCAAACCTTGTCTCTTTCTTCATCTTTATTTCTTTATCCCTCCATCTTTCATTTCCGCCGTGCAGTCAAGCGAGGTGCTCAGCACTCAGCTGGTCGCCCTGGAGTCTGAGAAGTCTGAGCTGGTGCAGTCCTTGTCCAAGGTGGAGGCGGAGCTGGTGATACAGGGAGAGGAGCTAGAGCGAATCCAAACCTCACTGGCAACTGAGAGAGAAAGCGGGGTGAAGACAGCAGAAGCCCTGCAGAATCAGCTCAATGAGAAGGTGAAGAATTGTCATTTTCTTAATTAAGTCTCTTTATTAGCTGTAATAAATCAAGCAGATGTTTTAGCACCAAGTGATAGAACCACTGAGAACCTGTGTGTCTAATGAATAGCTCAACTTTTTGCATTTATATCTGCTTCTGGCTTTTCTAATAAAGGTTCTGTGTGATAAGTTTAGCCTTTGTGTGTGTGTGTGTGTGTGTGTGTGTGTGTGTGTGTGTGTGTGTGTGTGTGTGTGTGTGTGTGTGTGTGTGTGTGTTTGTTTGTGTCCACAGGAGAGCAGGGAGCAGGCTTTGGAGAGCCAGCTGGTAGCAGCTCGCTGGTCCAGTCTGCAGGGAGCTGTGGAAGAGGCAGAGAGGATCATCCAGGACTCGCTGGCTCAGATAGACGACCCGGCACACATCAGCTGCACCAGCTCCGCAGGTCAGAAGCTAATGCTTTAACTCTATAACAGCACAGAACAATGCTGCTGTTACTCAGTGAAGGAACACTAATTAGTGCTGTGTACTGTGTAGTAATGTTAGTGTGCATGCTCTCATGTTTATGCATTAGCTCCCATCTTACTCCCTTGTCTCTTGTTTTTTTTTATCTCTGCAGACTACCTAGCATCCAGATGTCAGGCCTCTTTAGACTGTGTGGACCGACTCCATTCTGCCAGAGAGGCCTTCATAGCTGACAACACAGGTGAGAGGACTTATGATATCTAATGGTATGTAATAAGCTAGTACATAATTAGCTGTTTTAACTTATCTTGTGGCGCCCTTGATCTATCCAACAACCACAGACCTTAAAATGATCATTTTTAAAGGCACTACACACCCAAGTTTTTTCAGTTATTTTGGCTGATCAGATCTCTGCTCAAGTTATAGATTGTATGTCACCAAACTCTGTGCACCAATATGAATGATAGTGATGTAAGTTGCTGTGCTCTAGCAGGTGTAACATCACATCACAACCGCCTGTGAGGAAATCCAGTAGGTGTCTAGGGGCTTTAAGACAAGAATAATAAAAAACAGGGTGGGAAAAAGTTGACCCGATGAGATATCTGTACCAGGGTGTAATGAGAATTGGAAAAACAGTTATCATTTCAATTTTAATTCCCAACTGAAAAGTAAGTTTTGTACCACTTGTATTGTAGCCCTGTATTTTAAGGTACTGTACTCTACTATACTATATTTCATCCACTGCAATTATTCAATCAGCTGCAAACATATGAAACATAAATAAAAAACATGAGACATATATAAAACAAAAACATATATCTTCAAAACAGCAATAGAATAGTGATGTAAGGTGACGTGTGTTTATATCGACTGAGGTATGTATGAGAGCTCTGCGGCTGTACATTCCCAAAGATTTGTAATCATTTCTAACTGTAATCTCTTTGTCTAGGTGTGTCTGACCTGCTACGAGTGGTGACCCAGTGTGGCCACCTGCTGGGAGACACCATCGTTCAGGGTAGTGCCACCTCCCACATGGTGCCTGTTGAGCAAGCTGATGGTAAATTTCTTGCTTGAGTGCGTGCCTTTGTGTGTATGATGTAGACAGAGCAGGAGATGAATAGATTTTGGTCTCAGGTTCTCTCCCTGTGTTAATCTGTGGGCGAGTCAGTCAGCCTAGACATGTACATGTTCTGACAGGTCTGTGAGTGTTACATGTGTACAGTGAGGTTGGGCCGTGTAAGTTGAATCTGTTGTCTCGCTGGGAAATACATTAAATTTCAGCGTTAGAAAATAATCTTCTGGTGAGTCTGAGACTGTAAAACCTTGTAGTCTTTGTATTTGAATGTCCTGCTGCTGCAGTTACACTGTGATAAGAAATAGCTCTTTAAATAGTCTTCAATGTAGAATCTCAGCCAAAACATACATGGATGGAACAAAATTGCTGACTTCACACTGAAGTAATGTTTGCAGAATTTGCTCTCGTGGGAGATGTGAGCAGCCTGGGTAAGTCCGAACATGCCCAAATATAATGGCACTCTGGCCAGCAGTCTTATTACTGCAACAAAAAACAAACACAGAGAATTGAAACTGGGTCGAACTGAAGCTGCGTCTGTAGCTGTGCCTCTGGAAATCGATTGAGAATGTTTTGTATTGACCCCGTGTCCGTCTATACTATGGAAAAACATTTGAATTGAGCTTTTAAAAGCCCATGTACAGTGGATACAAATCAACTGGCTCTCCTGCGTCTACCTCGGCAGCTGCTGTGGAGGTAGTTTTGGTTTCCCTCATCCTTCTGTCAGAGTGGCTGTTTGATCTGTTGGTTGACACTTGCCCTGGAGGGCATCAGTATAATTAACACTACAGCTGCAGCCACTAGTGCCACTGCTACACATCAGAGTTTACAGAGGACGCAATATGGTATTGTCATTGAAAACAGCGCGTAAATAATATCACAGAATGGAATATGAAAGCTTGAACTCTTTAAAATGTGTTTTTTTTTTTGTTTTTTTTTTCATTGTCTGTATCTTTTAAAGACCGTTATTTGGATGATAACACATGCCTGTCTTTGTCTCTGTCCCTGTCAGCCCTGTCAGAGAGTGTGAAAGCGTGCGGGGCCGAGGCTCTGGCTCTGCTGGGGCAGATGAAGCAGCAGGACAGCATGACTGCAGCTAACAACAGCAAACTGAAGGCAGTTCTGGAGGCCATCCTGGCCACTGCAGAGGTTTGTATTCTAAAATCTTTCCCATAATATAGACCCCAGTAAAAGGTTCTTGTGCTGTAATATTTGACTTAAGTCCCTGTTGGTCTTTTGACTGTTCCAGAAACTGCGTCCTCGGGGTTTGGAGCTCCAGCAGGGGGAGCTGGGAGATCTGGTGGAGCAAGAAATGGCTGCCACTTCTGCTGCTGTGGAGTCAGCTGCTGCAAGGATAGAGGTGCTTGTGTGTGTGTGTGTGTGTGTGTGTGTGTGTGTGTGTGTGTGTGTGTGTGTGTGTGTGTGTGTGTGTGTGTGTGTGTAGATCAACTGATGGCAAATGTGCATTTAGACATACTTGCTGTGCGTGTGAGCGGGTCGTCCTTTGCCTGCTGTGTGAAAACGTTGCCCCCTGTTTCACTTTACAGCAGTACTAACTTCAAAGTGTTTTTTTCCTCCTTTGTGCCTCTGTGTGTCCCAACAGGAAATGCTCAACAAGTCTCGAGCAGTTGATACAGGAATCAAGATGGAGGTCAATGAGAGGTAAAACACAGATTAGGGTTGGGTTTGAGAGCTGCACAGACATATTTTTTCTGTAACATCACTTAGTTAATCATAAGTTCAAAAACACAATCCCCTGTCTTCCAGCTGAAACAGTCAGTGTATATAGCTTCTTTTGATTTTTCTTGATTATTGGGTTTGCATAATTATGTTTAAAAGGGCCAATAAAAATTCTCTATAGAAAAAAAAAGTATATATGGTCTAGTGTCTTCCAGAGAAAAAAAGTTTAACCCTCAAATTAACTGTATAATTGAAGAATCTTGCATCTAATGAGTTCGAAAAGGGTGCAAGAAGATTTGAAGTAGATCTTCCAAAAGGATCACCCTCATCACATTTTCCTCAAATAGAAATACAGTTGACCCACAAACAAACGTTTCTACTTTCTATGGTTTCTCTCTTCTCCATAGCATTAATAATGAAGAAGAAACCATAACTTAAGAAAACTGGAACTATCGGTGGCTAGAACCCAGAACAGCAGCAATTGTATCTCTGCGGTGAAAGAGAAAGTGACTAAATAAAAATATAAGAAAAATACGAAGATTGAGGAACTGGTTCATCTGTTAGATAAACAGATAAATACAGCATACCAAGCCCCCAACTATTTGTTTGTGAAAGAGCTGACCACAAAATGTAATAGATGTAAGCAAAGGCAATGAAGTGGAAGAGGAGGAAATGGAGATCCTTTTCAATGATCACATGGTATTTCAGTGCAATTGCAGATGGTCACACACTGGGGCCGGATGTACAAAGATTTTCATCAGTTCAGCTGCAAAGCCTCTGCAAACTGTCTGAACCCGGTGCAGCACTTAATGTCTGTCTGGAAACCAACCTAATTCATTTTTCTCCAGTATTTAGTCTGTAGTTTTAATGTTTATCACTGGAGCAGCTTCACAAACTGTTATCACCTTATAAACATTACATTACATTATTGGGCAGAAGCTTGGCTCTCTCTCGTACCTCATACCAATGTGAGTGTGCATGTTGTCTAGTAATGAGATTTGCATCCTCTCTTCTTTAAACTCTAAAGACAAAGATATAATTGTGTATGTGTAATAATTCTCTTTGTGTGTATATTAAGTCAATTGAACTGCACTCCCTTTTTCTCTGATCTCTCCAGGTCACTCAATTATTGATTTAAAAACTGTTGTTTTCTCAATAACTGCTGCACCACCGCTGTGAGAGATAATGATCGAAAGAAACAAACAGCTACTGCAGCTACAAATACTACTTTTATTTATCTCAGTTGTGCTTCGGTCATTCAATAACTAGACTGTGGGGAAACTATTTCCCAATAATGAAGAGGCTGATCTCCCTCTGTTTTGAGCTCCACCGTTCAAAAAGAAGCAGCTGCAGGTCTGGTTTGATGATATTGTTTTGGCTACACACCTCACAAACTGAGCAGACTGGATAAGAACAAGTTGCATCCAAGATAACTTGTAGGCATAACACTGAACAGACTCCATGATGTTTTGCCTCCTATTAAACGGAGGGATCAGAATTAGCAGCAGCTGATACAGTTACAGTGTTTTCAGTGTTTGTTTCCTGTGCTCTGTCGCCCCCTGCAGGATCTTGGCCTCGTGCACAGAGCTGATGCAGGCGATCAAGGCGCTTGTTCTGTCTTCCAAAGATCTGCAAAGGGACATCGTGGAGAGTGGCAGGGTGAGTTACACTGCAGTTTCATTTCTTTACTTCTTCCCAAAGTTAACAACGAAGAAGAGTTTTGTGTGATTGTTGGCAGACTTCTCACCAAATTTTGGATCGTTGGCAAATTTCTTAAATTACCTCATGTAACCTCCCTTTTTCAAATTCACAAATTTAAATTTGCATGTATAAAGCCTAATTTCTTTCTCTCTTTCCTTTTTTTTATAAATTGAAATACTGAACATGCAGCTATGAAAAAATACCTTGAAAAACATAAGGAAATCCTTACAGTATAATGTAGTCCAATGCAGCACTACTAACTTAGACCACAAAACTGGTCAGCATCTCTGACACATACTGAACAAAAAAACGAACAAATGCAGCTCCACAGATCCTGTATTTATTGCAGGGTGTAATAGTGGATTGTACTATGATGTACAGATCTGGCTCATACTGTGTACAGACTAGAGCTGGAACTATTTGGTGATAACTTTATTGTTCAAGCTTCTCCGATGTGTTTATCCTTGTCTGAAATTACAATAAATTTAATATCTTTTGGTTTTGGACTGTTTGTCAGACTAAACATGGCGTTTGAATGCTCCCTTGGACATGTTGAAATAATAATTATTGGCAAATTAATCTATAATGAAAAATAAAAAAGTAGTCTGTCTCTGTGCTCATGGGAGTTTAAAAAGTGTAATTTCCTCTTTTATCCACCAGGGGGCAGCCTCCATGAAGGAATTTTATGCTAAGAACTCCCGCTGGACTGAGGGGCTGATCTCTGCCTCCAAAGCAGTGGGATGGGGCGCCACGATCATGGTGTAAGTGTCAGTCCTCCTGTGTGTGTCTCTTACTCACAACAGACTATAAAAGTGCTTATGTTTATAGAGTTAGCAGTGGGAAAGTTTACTGCAAGCAGCTGCAACCACTCTGTGAATCCTAAATGTCCCAAAGGATGAAAAAAGAAATAGATAGATAGATAGATAGATAGATAGATAGATAGATAGATAGATAGATAGATAGATAGATAGATACTTTATTTATTCCCTAGGGGAAATTCATATGTCCATTAGCTCATTGTTGATAATAATAATAATAATAATAATAATAATATCAGTTGATAATAAATAAGTGACCTTTACAGGGAAATAAAGAACAATCAAAACATTCAGTCAGGTTTTACGTGGGCACGGGCGAACATTCATAAATCGGGTCAAGGACAAAGTAGTCTTAACCTCAATATTAAAATAACCTGACTTACTGAATCCCTTGGGTGTATTTTTGCTCTATGTCATGTTGTTACAGGGATGCTGCTGATCTGGTGGTGCAGGGCAAAGGGAAGTTTGAGGAGTTGATGGTGTGCTCACATGAAATAGCTGCCAGCACTGCACAACTAGTGGCTGCCTCTAAGGTGAGCAAAGACTACAAAGTTTTCACTCCCGCAGTGTAGTCTTTATGTGAAGAAAACACGCTATAGCCCTTTTTCAATATGTTTGGCGTTTTATACAAGAAAACGGCAAAGATCGTTTTTACTGGATGGTTTAAAATTTTTTGGCGTTGAACTAATACAGTTGGAGGAATACAGGTATAAGCAGCATTCCCATAGCATGTGGATGTCATGTCTCTTGCCTTGTTTTTCTCTCTTCAGGTGAAAGCAGACAAAGACAGCGGCAACCTGCACCGTCTGCAGCAGGCCTCCCGCGGCGTCACGCAGGCCACCGCAGCTGTCGTGGCCTCCACCAAGTCTGGGAAGTCCCAAATTGAAGAGACAGGTGAGAGAATCACATTGATTGGTTTGATCCCTAGCAGATGGTTCACAGAGTTATTTATTTATTTTATTTGAGCTGAATTTGATCATAATACAAAATGTCCAGCTGTTATCTTTTCTAACTTTAAATTCACAAAGTTGTTGTTCTGAATTCCTACCAAAGGTCAAGTAGCATTTTTCTATTTAACCTATTAAGTTGAATGTAGACTTCTTCGCTTGTGTTTCCAGATACGATGGACTTCTCCAGCATGACTCTCACACAGATCAAACGACAAGAGATGGATGCACAGGTACGCAGCAGGATACAACAGATAGGCACTGAGCGAAATATCCATCTTAAAAAAAGTCTTTTAAAAAAATCTGTCTTGAATTACATAGAAAAAGCAAAAGTAACTTCACTCTTTGTGAGAGTTTGATCGAAAACCTCTTTCCACTTTGGGCCATAACATTAGAAAATCTTATTCTTCATGATTTTGAAAGTAACATGAGTTTGGCTAAATATAAATTAAATGACTTTCCACATTAGATTCTGGAGGTATATTGTTTTTCATCCATTGAGAAGCTCAATTTCAAACTCGTAAGGACACTTGCGGCTCTGCTTCTCCCACAGCGAAAGAAAAACATTGAATGGTCTGGACCTGCTCACACACACACATGCATGGCCCATTGTTGTAAACACACAGAGAGAGCTCCTGTGTGAAGGTTATTCAGTGTATTTTTAGGAGTCGAACTCAAACCTGTGTAAACAATGATTGTTAACTGGGTTTTAGAATTTTATTTACCGCTCCCCGGTGTAACCTAATTTAGCCTGGACTACATTTTTGTGTTTTAAAGAAAGTATAATTAATTGTAAATCAAAAGTGACCTCTTATGAAAGCTAGCTGTTCATAGGGAAATTACACCAAGGTAACACAGTTAACAATGAGTAAGTTCATCAAGTATCTCTCATGATACCCAAGAAGAAGAATAGAATCAAATGATGTCAAGGATAGATAAGAGTGGCTCATTTAAATTGTATGAAGAAAATCATACATTCATACTTTCATTGTACAGTAAAAGCTGGTTTGATCCCTCCCAGTCTGTCTGCATGTAACTCTTAAAAATCTGCTCAGGATTTTGGGTTTTCCCCGGTTTACGAGGGGAAATAAAAGGCTACAGGGAAATGATGAGGGTGTTTGGCCTCGCCCTGTCTGTGTTTCCTCAGGTCCTGGTTCTGGAGCTGGAGACTCGACTGCAGAAGGAGCGAGAGCGTCTTGGCGAGCTGAGGAAGAAGCATTACGAGCTGGCCGGGGTAGCAGAGGGCTGGGGCGCGGAAGAGGAGGGTGAGGATAAAGGGCAACCTCTCCGCAATGAAAATACCCTAAAAGTCGTATAAATGTCAAAACGACTAAAATCTGTCCTTTCCGTCTTCTCCACAGGCACTGGTTGAGACCTCCCACCCCTCCCCAACCACCCCTCATCCCCCTCCTCTACCATAAGACCGGCTTCTGTCTGCCTCTTTCTATTTATACACACACTTTTCAGTCTCTTTCCCCCTTGTTTTCTTCTCTCTTTTTTTTTTGCTTGTTTGTTATCTAAGCCAAATGAAAAGGTGCTTCTTTTCTAAACCCGCTTCTCCACCTCTGTCCCAAAGCTTCCATAAGGGACAGCACCAAGGGCTCAGCGAAGGGGGGTGTCGAAGGGAGGAATAAATGGATGTAAGGAGCAGAGTGCAGGAGGAGGGAGGGGGCGGGGCCTACAGTGCAGCCTGATGTCACAGCCTCATGTCCCCCTCTGCCTCTCCCACAGGACTGTGTCTGTCAAAAGGAGTTGATCCGTTCGGCCGAGTATTTATTGTCTTCTTCTTCTTCTTTTTTTTCTTCTTCCCACGGTTTTTAATAACGAGGAGTCGCAGCAGAAACGCTATGAGCACAAGGTCTATTCAAGACATCCCAGGATGCACCGCACAAGGGCCAAACTCTCAGCAGAAAAAGCGGAGATCAGTGACTGTTCGCCCCACCCCAGCCCCAACATCATGTCTCTGTGTAACATACACGGCATGCATGCTCTCCCATTAAAACAAGTGTTTTTGGTCCGTGTCGTGAGCTTATAAAGCTGTGGGAGCCTGAGCTGCTCTTCATCTGTCGGTGCAGTTTGACGCACTCTTCCTCCCTAGTTTCTTCTTATTCTTTTCTCACTGTGAGTTATCACCTTATTAAGTCCATACCGCTTCACTGGCTGGTTCACTGGACTTTCTGCCTTTCCCCTCCTCACCATTGTAACGACCATGACTGTTAACTTGACCTGCCCCCTCTTTTTGTTTTTTTGTTGTTTTTTCTTTTTCTTTTTTTTTTTTATATTGTAACAGACGCTTGCCTGGAAATCTTAAAACTAGAACAAGGAAGTAGCACACAAAACAGTCTTCTCCCCGTGAGCGTTGAGACTGCCGTCTACCTCATGCTACATCGTCAGAGGTCAAAGGTAGCGGTGCATCATGGGGAGGTTGAGAAGTGTTGCTCAAACATTAATGACATGGGGTTATTTTTTGTTATTTTCCCCTTTAAATATTAAAGTTAGTAAAGGAGGTTTAGTGAGAGGAAACCCTCTTTTTTATGTAGAAAAAAGCCACAACACTGAGGTCTACTACTTCCTCTGTTCAGTAAAGTGTTCATTTCTTCACAACAACAGCTCATGTCTGGCAACAAACAAAGAGTTGTTAAATAAAGTTGGAGACCCCCTCTTGGTGCATATTTTTAGGTGTGTCTTTCAGTGGTCAAGCAGCACTACTGCAAACCTGACAAAGAAGCAGCAGCAGCAGCTTTGGAGGTAGAGCTGGGATCCAGTCACATAATGAACTGCTAACAGCGTTGTCTTCTGACAGACGGCAAGTATCTGCTCCTCCTGGAGACGTAGTGACCCTGCCAGCAGGACGACCGTGCTCCCGGTGAGGATGATAATCCTTTTAGGGTATTGCAGGAGACAGGACTGCCCGCTTAGTCAGATAAATCTGCAGAAGAAGCAAATGAAAATCCTTAAAAGGTTTGACATTTTTGAGTCAAAGTTGAATGTGAGGTTTGAAGAGTTTGAGGCCATCCCACTGCGCAAACCTTTTACTGATGAAATGTTAAAGATTTACCTGCCTCTTCAAATACCCTGCAGGACTGATGGTTGACTGCAGTTTTATAAATCCTTCACTAAGGGCCTGCATTGCCAGGACAACAGTGGACTCTGAAGTATGCAGTACACAGACTGCAGTGTTTAATAGCTTCCTCAAGACCAAGTAGCTGTGTATATAAACTACAAGCCTTTTATTGTTGGAAATAATCTTTTGCTTTCTTTTAATCTAAAAGCATTCAGTGGCATCAATTTTTGCATCTCTCCAAGTAAGGATTCAGTTTAATTGAATGAGGGATACAAAATGGTGCACATGAACGCCCCACATAACTAATATAAGTCATTATTTCTTCCGTAAGAGGTTGTTATTTAACAGAATTTCCTGCTGAGACTCATGAACTGACTTTCAACTTGTTTCCAGTGGACTCTTGTGAGAAGACTGACCATGTTTCTGTGTAAAAACCACAACATGAGCAGGCATCTATTTTGAACCTTATTTCTTCTTTCTGTTCGATGATGGCAATGATGATTCTCTTGGAGTTTGTCTCTCTCTGTGTCTTAACATACTTAGTTTTGACGCTCCGCTTCAGCTGCGTATCTCTAAACAGTTGTGACACTGGGTATTTAACAGACGCTGGTCAAATAGTATTTGCCAATAATTCTTAAAAACAAACAAAAAAAGTTTTAAACCACTTGGAGCAGCAGATGGTTGAATCATAAAAAGTGAATTATTAAATATACTTATTATTTTTCCTATTCGACACCACCCATCTGCTGCACCAACCATGGCTAAAGCTAAGAGCAAGTATTATTTGTAGTACTGTTGGCTCCAGGTCTTTGTATTTAATAATGATTTTAGCTGTGTTCTGTCACTTTTCCCACACATGGGCAAAACGTTAGCTGATTTCATTAGAATAATTGGAATATAAAACAAAAAACGTACCATAAAAGAAGGATACATCCACTTTTTATGGTATTACAAGTGTCTTGAAAGATGAACTGAATGCACCTTGAGTGATGTTTTGGTTGTATTTTTTGCCCAAATATTCTTTATTAACCTCCCTCTCTCTTTGTCTCCTCTCTCTCTCTCTCTCTCTCTCTCTCTCTCTCTCTCTCTCTCTCTCTCTCTCTCTCTCTCGGGTCTGTGTCTGTAGTCCTACCAGCTCAGCCAGCCTTTCAAACTGCCTCACACTGTAGTCAAAGAGAAACAAATACTCACATAGCAACATTGAAATATGTCTTTGTATGATATACTAAAACTTTGTTGGTGGGTTTGTTTTATTTTTTCAGTTTTTAAAATAAATATTTCAACTCGTTAATACAGACCGAAGTGGGAGTGTGGTTTTTATTTTCCTCCTGTGATGTTAGACAAAGCAGCTGCTTTCAGTGATCAGGAAATGTGATTAGTGAAGTGGGAGACAAAGTTATTTTCAGGTAATTCAGTTTTATGTTTTTCCTCTTCACAGTATTATTCTTGGAAAAGTTGGATGTTACATAACAATCACAAACTGATAAATTGCCTCAACTGCTGTTGTATTAATCCTCTTACTTTCTAATGCAACACACAGTGAAAAACCTCGAGGAACTCCAACAAAATTAATAAGTAATTGCATTTCAAGCTTTTCATTTTTTAAGGAGATAATTTTTGTAGAATGATGTCATTAATGAGAGTGTTTTCAGTGCAAACAATAGGCTACTTGTGTGTGTGAGAGAGTGGAAGAAAATAAGGGTGTGTTAGCTCAGTAATTGTCTTTTACAGGAGGAGCAACCTCACATCTACATCAGGGGGAAGCTAAAATCCTAATGCACCTAATTGATTTTTATTTATTTATATATTTATTTTTTTTATTTTTTTATTTTGGGGGGGTGGATTCTTTTCCAGTAAAAGCATTGACTCATGGAATTTAAAGTGCTTTGTTGGCATTGGATGGAAAATAAATTATTGTCAAGTTAGAGACAAAAAAAACTGTGTTGCTGCTCCTCCTGCACTGGTAACAAAGTAAAACACACAAAACATCCCCCTGCACGCACGCAAACACACACACACACACACACACACACACACACACACACAGATTTGTTAGAGGTATTGCAGGACTTGTGAGTAAATGAATCAGCGTAATCTGAAACCACTGTGCTGAGATTACAGAAATCCATAATCTGGGCTAAAGTGTGCTCCGGGATCAGTCTTATTTCCTCGTAGCTTCAATGCAACAGACTCCTACTGAGACGCTAACACAGAAAAATAGAGGCTACTTGTTCCAAGATAATGTCAACCTATGTTATGAATGTTTCTTGTTTATTTCCTCTGCATTGTATATATCCAACTTTTTAATTAAGCTTGGCTGGATTTATTTGTGTTTTTTTGTTTGTTTGTTTGTTTTTTTACTTTCATTGAGATTAGAGGCTTGTAGACGCCAAAAGCTCAAGAAGTGAACAATGCAATAGAGTACAAATGTTGACAGAATGAAGCCATTCATATCCCTTCAAACTGGACAGGTGTTCCTCCACCAGTTAAAGAGCCACACCTGGTGTCATGTACCCACAGACCAGGTGTGCCTCGTTAACTGACAGCAAGGACCATGAACCTGCAGGACTCTGGTACAAAATTACAAAATTACAGCAGTAATTCTTTTGTGTTTAAGCAACAAGAAGCTGAAGAACTGTTACAGCAGAAAGGCAAGTAGTAGATACGGTGATGATAGATTTAGGGATGAGTTAAGTGTCTGCTCTAATTCAGTGGTTCATTCAGGTGTTTGCCAGTTGAGTATAAGTAATTTGTGGGAAATAAAAGCTAACAGTGTTCTTGTTCACAGGCCAGTGACAGCTGTCATAGACATACATTTAAACAAATAGTCAGAGTTCATATGGACATCCAATTTCCCCAGATGCACAAACCTAATTCTGGAGACATCCATTCAGGTTAAAGTTAGGCAGAGCTATGCTGGGAACCCTTGCAATAATAAGAAGGATAAAAGTGTGATTTGTTCCAATTTAAGAGGTGCAACAAAGCTAACAGGAGAGTCAATCATACAGTCTGCTAAGACGACAAATTGTGTGATGGAGGATCTGATCTAATCTGGCCGATGGTCCATGGTCTTCACAAGCAGAGTCTTCAGTCAGCACTACTTGTTCTCTTCTCCCTCAGTGACGTGGTATGACTTCATGCCCTCATTCAGCAGTGGGCAGGCTACCTCTGATGTGGTACAGTATGCAGTGGTGCTGTGTTGTTTTCTTCTGTGCTGCTGTTCTGTCACATGGGTAATGTGGTGGGTGGTGCCCGTGAGAAAGACAGGCTGAGCTATTTATAGTCTCTGCAGTTCTGTGCTGGGCTGCTTTACAGCAGGTCTCCTGGTGGCAGCAGCAGTAGTAGTGTCTCTGTTTGTCTCCCCTCTGCTCTTCCAACACGAGCAGGGACCAACCAGCCACACATATATACGTACATGCTTTAAATCAGCAGGTACGATGACACCGACAGATACAGGCTGACTATTCAGTCACTCATGGAAAGAAATTTACCTACAGTGGTCTGCACAGGGATGAATAAAGGTCTCATTATATATCAGTGTGACTCGACATCAAATCTGTTGTTTGCTGCTGAAACAGCATACACAACATATGTAATAATATGTCAAATATTGGCTCAAACATTAAGACCAGTTGTTGAATCAGCATTTGACATGATCTCAACAGACATCTAACATTAGGCCTGGAGGTGTCACAATGCTGGTTGCACAATGTCAGACTTCCATATCTGTCTAGGACTAAGTGCAGCTGTTCATGTCAGTGTCCTCCTCTGGACATATGAAGTTTGCTCCCCGATCACAGCCATGAAGAAACAACCTGCAAAATGATGTACCACAATATGGGTTTCCTATTCTTTCCTATATTTTTAATTGTCCCTGTGAAGATTCCTTGATTTTTACAAAACAAGTTGATTAGTAGACTTTTTCACTTGTTTTTGAAAAAGGTTAGACTTTAAAGATTTGAATTTCAAACAACAATGACTTGATGAGGAGAGTTTTGCAGTGTTGAAGTAAATTGTTCAAATTTAAAGCAGACACACAAGAAGAGACAATGGTTGATAACTCGCATTTTCATTTTTACTGTAAACGGCCAGTGTTTCATTAAATTATCATGATTTATTTCTGTGGTTGAGGGACCGAGTGTTGCATTTGTCAGCAGGCCGAGCTTTTCCTAGAAACCCCTCAGACTCATTGTGGCAACAAAATACACACAACAAAATAATTGCAACATCATCACATATATAATTTCTATAATTAATCCTTTATATAATATACTGTACCTTCTTACTTTTTTCTGTAGATTTTCAGTTCTCCAAGAACATATTTGGCTCTAACATGAAGCTTGTTGAGTTTCATTCCCGCTTTGTATTGCATTATAAGTTCATTGGGAATAAATGAGGTAGTGGTAGTGTTCTAGCTAGTAGCTAGATATTGTACTGGGACTTACAGATAAACTGAGCTGGATTCAGGCTCACGGCATTTCACATCATACCCTTTGTTTTTATTCATCTTCTTACACATTGCTTAGACCAGACACAAGCTGGACTTTGATCCTCAAGAAAACCACAACTTTATACAAGCTGCCAATGCAGAATTACTCCTGATTCCAACTGGATTTAGTGGGAATTTTCAACAATTAATTGCACCTATTTTTCAGCATCTGTTTGCCTGTTAATCTGATGATGTCATGGAGGTAAGGTTCAGGTGCAGCCCATGAGACTCAGCCTGCTGATGTCTTTTTGAGACAAAACATTTCAGGTGTTTCACTCACTATGGCACAAATTTAAGGTTTACCCAATCATTTATTACAAGATATACCAAGAACCATTTAGGTGGCTTACTCAGTTGGATACATAACTCTTAAAGCAGTTAGTATAATCCTGGAAATTATGTCTTAATACATTTTTAAGTGTTGGACAGCTGCTCATTTCTGTGAATGAACAGAGATTAAAACACTTAGTGATCATGTCTGTCCTTTCTATTGAAACTGCTCCTGGTCCACATGGATTAATGTACTGCAGGGCCAAATAAACCAAACCACATTCATTCAAGACCTAAAATAACACACTACCTTTTAGCTATTTAAGGAGTCATCAATCCAAATGGAAAGAAAAGACATTGTCCTCTTCACTTGCAGGGGATGTTCATTAAGCACTTCAGTCCTAGACAAAGCTGAGACATTTATTTATTTAGACCCTTCTACATACCTTTAATATATTGTATGTAACAAAAAAAACAAAAAACAAAATTCCTAAAATAAAATCTGAAATGTCTACCTTAAAAATCTTGAAGCTATGAATATACAAATATTGTTCCCAAACTTCTATGCTTTAAATTAATAGAAAAAAAATCTGGGTCAGACACCACACACACACACACACACTCTCAAAGCACTGAGCTTCACCAGCAAAAACAGTCTCTTACCTGACTGGCCATCGAGGGAATATAAAGGCTGTGCGTGCTGTTATTTGTGTAAAAATAACATAATTCTGTTTACATTTCATAGATGATGGCGACCCTCCAAAAATATCAGCTATTGGATCTGGGGCGTGACCTGAGCACAGCTGGAGAATCGCAGCTTCACCACCATGTGATGAAGGTCAGTGAAGGACACCTGAAAGGAACAACCTTTGTATTGTAAAACTGTCTGAATGCTCTTACTGTTTATGGAAGGGTTTATCTGAATACAAGTGTCCGCCTTCTGAACAGCAAAGTGTCATCACTCAGGCCGCCCTCACTGAAGGCCTTTGAATGCACTGTTTTGTGCTTGCCTTGAACATTGTATCCGGCAAGGCTGGCCTCGGCCCGCTTTTGAGTGCCTGACACAGATATGAGGTCACAGGGTGAGGAAAAAAGTCTTGCCCTCTTCACTGAGGCCTGCGGGCACTTCTTCCCAAGTAAACAAACAAGCAGGCGGTACTTTGCTTCCCTCAGGGGCCAATGATTCCCCTCAACAGAATGAAGAGCCACAAAAGCAGCTTTTAGATGCTGCTGCAGACAATCTCCTGGGGACACTTCATGGCTTCCTCATCAATATCTGGTACCGCTTAGGTGTATGACACAACCTTTTACAAAGGAGCAAGCACATCTTTATTTACTGAAAGTACACACAAAGTTATTCAGCACTCTCATGAAGCAGTGTGTTGTTGTTCTTTGTGTTACGAGGCAACAGACTTCTAGGAGAATGATGAAGTGTTTGTGTTGTCTGTGTGATGCAGCTGGAAAAATAAATTAAAGTAATTAATCAGGGACAGAAGCATCATAATATGGTTTGTGACTGCCATT